AAATCAAAGATTACGCGATATGAACCCTACCAAAACTGGGGGTAAATATTCCGGAAGAGTCAGCGGTTTCTGCTCTTCTCATAACATCCGTGTTTTTACCCCTTTCAAGATCCGTTGATGAAAACCATTCAGTGATAAGCATCCCTAAATAGCGGATTGACGAAAGCCACTTTTCTAACACAAGGTATTACCAATTTGATCAACCACAGGTGCCTGAAAGTGATACTTACCGAATGTGACAGTTTGACCTGAAACGTTTTCTGAACGATAGACAAGACTACTATCGATAGACAACACAGCCATTGAAAAATAAAATATAACAAAATAGCACCAATACAAAACAGAAAAAAAAAAAGAAAATACAACATGAATCTTTAAAAAAGAACTATTGATGAGCTCATGTGCTCCGGAAGGGTAAACAGTTCATGCTTCACTTGTGTCAACCTCATGGCAAGTAAAATTCTGACAAGATACATTTGATGATGTCTCAAAAAATATATTAATCAATAGTTTATAAATTGTATGCGTCAAAGTGCCTTTCTGAATTTACCTTCATCAGGAACTCTCAAAGTAGGAAGTTAAGGATAAATATATAATGATAAGAACAGAAACAGTTGATGAGACATTTGATCAAAAAGGACATACAAATAATCACCAAATCCATCTATGGTCAATTTTGCCGAAGGGAGTTGAAACCTTAGTTTCTTAATATTTCATAAATTTAATAACGGACATTTTAAGTATGATATGTTATTAATCATGTCAGTACCGACAAAAAGAAATATATAAAAAAACCAACTCCAATGAAAATTTAAAACGGAAAGTCCCTTATCAAATGGCAAAACTAAAAGCCCAAACACATCAAACGAGTGGAAAAGGGGAAGTAATGACTACTGCGACGAGGATAACCTAGTGACTGATAGTTCACCATCAGCGGTATTGGCCCAGTGCTATAAAAAATGAAAACAACACTTTATATAAATTTTATGCGTCTGAAGTGCTTTTCTAGATTTACCTTCATCAGGAACGCTCAAAGACGAATATTTGAAAGCCAAGGATGTATAAGAACCGAAGCAGATGAAGATCTATATGACCAGAAAAGACCCAAAATAATAGCCAAATAAAACTAAGATCGACTTAGCCTGAGGGAGTTGAAACCTTAATATTATATTTTATAAATTTATTAACGGATTATTTAAGAATAAACGAAAAAATGAGGACGGGACAGTGTCTATGACAAGTAAAACATATCCGTGGTCATTTGTGACGCAGATTTTTTACAACGGTTAACCAAAGCATGATGGTGTCCATAAATCTTATGAAAAAATTACTTCAACTCAACTTATGAACCCAATGGCTTTCGTGTAAGCAGACACTCATAAAATCAGGACAGACAATGCAAGCCCTGGAATACAAAATTACCAATTCATTTTGAAGTCTTGAGGTTTTTTTTTGGTTTTTATTTTTTAATATATGACCAGGAGATCTGCTGAAGTTGTGTAATAATCTCTGCTTAATTCTTCAGTTATTATAACGGATATAATCCTCTACTTTATCGTGCGAAAGTATTTTAAAAAATGACAGAATTAACGAAACAACGGCTAAACAGGGCTTTCACTAGAAATTTTGTTACTAAACTTAAAAAAACAGTCTATAAATAGATACTTCCTAGAACGATGCACAGGTGCATGGTCCTAAGTCTAAAGATTTCTGGCCAGCAGTAAAGCCATTTCTAACAAACAAAGGATGCACCAGCCAAAAAGAAACCATACTACAGGAAGACAACAAAATCATCACAAACCAACAAGAAATATCTGAAATTTTTAATAACTTTTTTTGTAAATATTGCAAAAAACATCGGTGACAACCACTTACAGGTTAATGACAAACACCCAAGTATAGAAGCTATTTCTAATAGATACTCATATGGGTCAACATCAAATAAACTTACATTTAAGCCTATAAATGAAGCATTTGTTTCTTAAAGAATTAGTAAAATTGATGTTAAAAAGGCAACTGGTAAAGATGGTATATCACCAAAAATTGTACACGCTGCTAAACCTGTAGTGATTAAACCTATCACACAGCTTGTAAATTTATCATTATCCACTTCCATTTTTCCACACTCGTTAAAATTTCCTAAGTGGCACTCATTCATAAAAAAACAGTGTTCTTGAAAAGGGTAATTATAGACCCGTTAGTGTTTTAACTGCTATATCTAAATTTTTGAAACAGCCATAGAAAATCAACTTACTAAATACTTTGATGATATTTTTGACCATTTCCTTGCGGCTTTTCGATCAGGTTATGGCTGTCAGTCAACATTACTTAAAATTTTGGAAGATTGGAAAAAGGCACTGGATAATAATAAATACTTAGCAGCAATATTGATGGATCTCAGTAAAGCTTTTGACTGTCTTCCACATGATCTACTTCTTTGTAAATTGGGAAAATTTAGCCTTAGTCCATCTGCTCTTGAATTGCTAAAAAGTTATCTCACAACAAGAAAACAGTGTTTAAAATAGGTCAGAATATCAGTCAAATGCAAGATATCTATAAAGGTGTTCCTCAGGCATCTATCATCATACTTGGCCCTGTATTACTTAATGTATTTATAAATGACATCTTTCTTTTTGTCAAACACTGTGAATTATATAACTATGCTGATGATAGGAAGATAGTAACTCCCTAATATCATGGTTCTCCTCCAACAAAATGCAGGCAGAAAAATTCCAGGCAATTGCCATAGTTAAAAAAAAACACACACTCAAAATATGGTCTTCAACCTAAATGGATTCAACATAAAATGTGACGACGAGGTGAAACTTCTTGGTGTAACAATAGACTTTAAACTGGATTTTAACACTCACATCTCAAACATCTGTAAAAAAGCTGCACAACTAAACGTACTAAAAAGAATCTGAACTCATCTCACCAGACTTTCTAAACTTACAGTATACCACTCATTTATCTTGTCAAACCTCAGCTATTGTCCTCTTACATGGCACTTCTGCAGTGAACAAAACAGAAAAAAATAGAAAAAATACAAGAAAGAGCACTCAGATTTATTTATGACGACTACAAAAATTCTTACGATACACTCCTTGAACAGTCTAAGCTACCAGCACTAAAAATCAGAAGAATGAGAACCATGGCATTAGAGACTTACAAAATAATTAATAAATCAAGTCCGAAATTCCTACATAATTTAATAAACATTAAAGAAAATTCATATAATTTTAGGTACAAAGGCATAGCGGATATACCAAGGCCAAAAACAACAAGGTATGGTTAGAAAAGTTTAAGTTATCATCAGCAAGACTCTGGAACTCCATGCCAAATGAGGCAAGGAGCTTATCAGCTTTTGGCCAGTTCAAAAATATTATATCTACCTGGTGTTTTTCAGAAAATTGTACCTGCAGTTCTTGTAAATAATTTAACTCCTTGCTGCCCCATGACTTAACTTTGAAGCCTGCCGTTTGTTTGTTTTTTTAAATTTTTTGCAATTTTTAATTTTTATTTATTATTTCTTTGTTTTGCTTATGCATTACCTGTGCTGTAGCTGCTTGCAGCCTTTTGCTTGTGCTTTATAGTGTTTAACTTTTGAATGTGCTACTTGGATCTAGATACTGTGTGCTCTTGTGTGTTGATATTTGACATTTGTTTTTATATATATCTTGCTTAGCTTTTATTTTGCATGTGCTATCTATACATATTAATACATGTATGTGCTGTCTGTATGTTTGTGTTGTATATGTTTCTGATGTTATTACATGTATGTTTTGTTATTTTTAAAATATCAGTCGGTTAAAGAGCTCTTAAGATCTCATGTTCCTTGTTATTATGGATATATGCAACCCGACTTTAAATAAAGATTACTTACTTACTTACTAAATATATATTTTTTATGTCTTAGATTCAGTCCAAAAATGTAAGAACTGCATATTTGCACTTGCGAATCTAAATCGTCCTGCCACCCGGTTCGAACTCAAGATATTTGGACACCAACAACGTTCAAGCTGTTGAGACGTGAATGGCAACACCGCCTACACTGTGTCCAGTGCCCTAGAACACTAGGTCTCATTATTCTGTATTGAATTACCATACCTGATCCAACGGCTATTCAGGACTTTCAATATATTTATAATTTCTTGAATTCAGTCCACAATGGTTATCATTGCATTTTTTCATTGCAAATTTATAAAATCATACCCTCAGCGGGATTTGGATTCAAGTTGTTGAGACATCAATGGCAGCCCAACCTGCACTGTAACATAACAAGGCTATATATATAGTTTTCTCTAGTCGGGTGGTGTCTTTTCTCGTCGTGTTAATCAAAGGTTGTAACACAGTACGTTGTGTATTGTGACATGGAACTGATTTATCTGTGTATGTCATCTTTATCTAAACAAATATAACCTAGAGGATACATGACCAGTTATAATTTTACAGTCAAAACGATCCTCCAGGCCTTTGTTTTCATAAAATAATTTCCTTGATAAAGGTTTGTAGCTTCAAAGGCTACTGAACCAAGGATTTTAACGATTACGAAAGCCTTCATGATTTGGTTAAATATCTGTATTACAGATCACCACGGATATTTTTCATTGTGGTAGCAACAATACCTTACTCCAATCTTGATTCTTACCATATAACATGAATATGAAATAAAATATAATTGTAACTGATGGTACAGAAACGACTGACCCCCCCTTTTTATAGCAAGAACCGAAGTCCATGTATCGCTTTTCAATCTGATAAAAATCATCGAAATTTTACGTTGAGAGACACTGTCAGGCAGGCTTACAGATTAAAAATATACCTTCCAAAATACATTGAGCAATGAACAAATTCAAACTTGAAAAAATAGATAATGTTTTCATGTTGATAAAAAATAACCTTATAAGAAAGCTAATTGTAAGTAAAAATAAACATAACCTTAAAATGACATCGGTCACTTTTTTATCGTTATTCTAATATATGCAATGTTATCAAATAACTACAAAATAGATATTTTATTTATTGCAAATAAAAATAAACAACAATTTGGACAATTCCTATTTGTTAAGAAATTAAATGATAACAAATATGACATCTATGGTAAAGTTTGATGAAGGCGGGATAACTCTTGTACATCTTGTCACAGTAATGTTGCATGTAAACTGACAATAACTGATTATTACTGCTTGATCACCCCTCCTTGTGAGCAAACTCTTGAGGATGTGACAAACTGAACTTAATTCCGGATCAATCACATAGCCAATTGGAATGACTTTTCGCCATTATATCAAACTATCACGAACTTGCCATTGAATAAAACTGGTCATCTTCTTCGTCTGATTGAATAGAATTGCACCTATTCATTGACCAGTGATCATGAGCATCGTGAAATGTACCATCTTTTCGTTTTCGTCCCCCCATTGTTCTAAGTTTAACTGAAGCATTACTCGAGTCTAACTCGTCGGATTCGTCCTCTTCCCTTGGTGATGATAAACCACCAAGTCCTCCAATGTTCTTGTTTGTTCTCCTTCTTCTATCTGACACTGCCATTTTTCTTTCAAGACCAGGCTTCTTGCAAATAATTGGAGCATCACTGAGTGTTTTTGATATCTTTCTATGCCCGTTTTCATCGTTTTCTTCCTCTTCTTCAATCGTGACACTTGTTCTACTGTCGCGACATGATGACAACCTTGATAAATACCTACTCAATTTCGCCTTATTTTTCTTGCTAACCCGTCGCAATCTGCTCACTTCATTCAGTTGTATTGGAATCTTAGGGGGAGTTGTCCTCTTTTTTTCAATTGTATTCAGCATTGCTGTCTTGATTGCGTCAATATTGGACAATGTATTGAATTCAGTTAATTGTGACAATCTGTCAAAAGCTTCATGTGTATATTTGAAATTAAATGTTGAATATGGTGTTGATGGGTCGTCAAACACATCAAAATTGGCGAAGTCCTTTTCATCCGAAGGTCTTGGGACACCTAAAAATATTACTTGTATATTAAAATCTTTCACGGATACCAAGTTATGTTAATCCTTAATCTAGTCGAATGTTATTATAATAAATACATTTTGGAAAAGCATCCTGCAGAAACTAATGAATATTATTCATTTTCTTTTTAAATGAATTATAAAGATTTTTTCATTCTATCGCGTTGGTCATTTGATTTCTAAGAAACGATAGTATATTTTTTAGGAAATCAAATGCAAAAGATACAAATGTACTAGAATTGTTCCATCGAAAAATTGATCAAATATTATTTTTTTAAATTGTATATGCTCATTATTTAGTTTCAACATGATTTGACAATTGAAATAATGGAATTAAAAATAATGCATACAAGTAGTATTACTTTAAAGACAATTCGTTTTATTTGCTTGTAAGTCTATGTTATTATAATTTACCTGACAAATGGGATAACTATCTATTCGTGTACAACAATATTCATTCAATTTATTTCAATTCATATGTTTATTCACTTTAAATGTTGATTGTTCTATGTTTTTTCAAAGATATGGTAATTTGTATTCTTATTTTGAAATATTATTATTCGACATTAAAAAGCATAAAATAACGAATATCAGAATCAGACAAGTTTTATCTTCAACGAGAAATTAATACGAATAAAAATAGAATATGAGGTATACGTCAAAGAGAGAGTAACTTAACCACGCAAATAAGAAAAAGACATCTTAAGTCACGTGTCTTAAGTTATCATACCAGGTTTTTTGAAGTCTCTGAAGTCTATATTCACCAGGACAAAGTGTAACACGACGGGACAATGAGGATCAGTTGGATGCTTGAATATGTACAGCTCTTTCATTCCTTCTCTATCAAACACAGTGACATCAATTGGCGGGAAAGGTAATTTATTCAGTCTTGCCCATTTTTCTGCCAGCAGAATTTCCTTAAAGAAATAAACAAAAAAATACAATTTGTATTTGGCTTTGTATTACCACTAGCATGACGAAATTGGATACTCATGATTCATGATGAACTATTGAAATGAAAATCAATATACAAACATTGATTTAGGCTATTTTGCTGGTTATTTTAAATTTGAATGAAATTTAATCAGTTAATCTTTACTGATGAATAAATTAAACAAAAAACAAAAAAAAAAACAAAAAAAAAAAACAGTCAGCTTCAGCTGTTTATTTTATATTTGTATTTCAAATGTATGTGCATATTTTTTACTGTCCCCCCCCCCCCCCCATTTTAAGCGTACATCCGTATCACATTTTTTTTCTCACTAGCCCTGGCAATCTTTCTCCTTGAAAAAAAACCTTTATCCTGATCAGTGATGAGAGTTTAGACAATTTTTTTTACTTTTAAGTTTCAGGTAATCTCCCTTGCATGGTAAAAATAATATAAAAAAATGTACCTTAAATGGTGGTGACTGGTCTCCAGGCCTGGCACTAAAATCAAAGGATAGAATGATATCTACAGCTCTCTGTGGTCGCAGGACAAGAGGAAAGGGTGAGTTAAACGTTAATCCTGCATCAACCATATATAAATGTTTAACATTGGTTGGATGCAGTTCGTGGATTCCATCAAAATCATCTGTAATGATAAAAAATACGTAAATGAGTCAATCAATTTTTATATTCTTTTTAAATCCGTATCATTAATAAACAAAATTACATCATGTTTTTTAAAATATTAAAAATTAAAGTAAGAAGTAAGTAATAGAAATAACACAAAATCAGTAAAACTAAACAATGTTCCAAACTAAGTTTTGAAATTGATTCTTGTCTGTTTCATACTATAGACCGTCACTTTTGTTGATACCTTAAGTTTTTTTTAATCTAACGTTGAAATACAAAATATATTACCAGTATCTTTATTTGCAGTATCCGGAGTAAAAGGAGACAGTGGGAAGGTTTTAGTAAGTGACAATCCTCTCATGAAATTATGTACAACGCCAGCTCGGCCTGCTCTTGTGTTCAAGACTTCAAAACGTTTACTGAAATAAAACGTGACATTTTAATCTACTAATTGAGAAACGATTTCAGAATAAAAATCGAATCAAACTAAAAATAAGTAAGATAAATAGCTTGCAGTCGATGCATGTAGTAGGATATTTAAATATTACGGTATACTTTTAAGTTGTCTGAATATGTTTTTTTGTCTATGCTCCTGACCTGCACATCATAATTGATCAATCATTTTTTTAACCATAACCTATCTGACAATAGAAGGGTTTGGATACTAAACAAACTATCCATGTTAAAGAGACACAGTATTTGTTTTTACCAAAGCACGTAATTGTAAGTCGGCCAGTATTGTTTTTCTCTAATTCTTAGCAGATTTATCCAAAGTGTGGTTTGTTTGGTCTCAATTTTTCATTGGTCAACATTTAATTATGATATCAACTTGTCTTGCTTTTCTCTGAATTTACTATTGTGACGTCGCGAAAAAAAGGCGATCATGTCTGATGACGTTACATAGAAAGAACACAGTCATTGGGAAAGATGGATTAAGTTTATCTGCATATCGTCTAAAAATCATAAAAGAAACCATGAGATTCTATCACCAAATCTCGTGCAATACGATATTTATTCAATTTCGACAGTTAAACTTTAAATATCTAACATGGACATTCGGCGAGCCTTTCTTTTATTGCCATTTTCTAATTTTGCACCACGATCTTCATTCTTGATTAATTGTTATGTTTCTATTCAAATAACGTTTATTGGTGTCAATCCTTCTCCTCTGAATGAACAGGGAAGGAAATATATGCATAAAAATAAAGTTTTAAGTATAAAAGGATGTTATGTAACAGAGTGCATATATGAATTGAAAAAGAAACCAATCTAGAAGAAACAATAAGTAAAAAATTACCCAAGGTTACTATAGTGGTATATTTATTTTTAAATTCCAATACATTTGCGGGCATATACATTCACACTACAAGTATCCACGTCACTATTTGATGCTGTTTTAATATTATTCTACTGATAAAATCTAGGAGAATAAAACAAATTAACAGGAAAAGGAAAAGATCATAATCTACGTGAAAATCATTATTTCATAAAGAAATTTTCTGTTTTGTAAATTTTAACCGGAAAAAACAATTCATTTCGTTCGATAACTTAATATATCTTTTTAATCTTTACACATTAAAAATTCCATACTCCGTGCAGTTTCTTCCTGAATGGAATTTTTTTAATAAAATCCAGTTTATATATACTTATGTTTCTTTGACACATTCCCCGTTTCCTTTCTCAGCTTTATTATGTAATTTATATAACTTACTTTTCTAAAATATTGCTGAGAAAACTATTCCAATATCCCTTTTGTTTAGTTCTTCGTTTTGAAGCTTGTCGTTTTGGCGCTGGGGCATTCTGATCGGACCCATTAGTTTGTGGTACGTCGAATGTAAACTGACGAGAACCCCGAGGTTTTTCTTCTACTTCCGTTTCATCACTTTCATCACTACTGTCACTGCTTTCGTCCTCCCTGCTTTGCTCGATCTGCTTAACTATGGGAAATAGATGAAAAGTAAAGAAATTACGCTGGGATATTATTCATTTTTTCCGAGGAATGGTTTAATACTTTATAAATTAAAATCATATTCTAAAAAGAAAGAAGATACCCATGGGATAAGCAAATCATCTATAGCAAAAGAAGGACAAACGACACACAAATATTGACTGGTCGTTATTGTTTAACGGCACTTTCAGCACTCTTTGCTATATTATGGCGGCGTTTTATTGGCGGAGAATGTCGGATACACAAAAAGACAAACAACGGTCGACAAAACACTACACAAAAAACTAAAAGTTAAGCAACACAAACCCCAACAAAAATGGGAATTGGAGACTCAGTTGGCTACGGAAGGATAAGTAGTTCCGGCTCCAATATCAATGTTATGTTCATTATGCCTAATCACATTCACTATTTTCACTCTGCCAAGATTAAAGCCTCATATTTATTTCTCGTGGAATCATGTAAAATTCTACTCTTTTCAGGTTTTATCACAGATCTTTTTGAATGAAATTTAAAATATAATTTAAATCTGTACTTGAAACGAAAACTCTGTTAAAGTAATAATGCAAGAATACCTACCCATTTCTTGTCTGATCATTTCCACCGGATCAAGCTTTTTATTGTCGTCCAATAAACGTTTAAATAAAATACAGAAGGCACTGCCCCAAATGCCTGAAAAGATAATCATATAAATCATTTCTCAGAGTATAGAACACAAACGCACTTGGATAAAAAGATTCTTCAATTTGTGATTTACTTGAGCCACAGACATATAATGCATTAATATAATGTATTATATGTCTCTGCTTGAGCTGATCATTCTCTGAGTTATTTTTCATTTTCAATCATTCGCGTGTTTCAGTAAAATTTGAAAAAAAACAATAAGCCCTTTTCAATCAGAACGACAAGCTTATTTTAATTTAGCAATTATAGACCAATAACAGAAACATAACTGACCCTTTTTTACCCCATACAATAACGTATTATAACTAAATATATCATACCCATTGATAAATATATTTTTCAGGAAATACGTATATTGTGTATCAAGTTAGTTTCGTTTTTTTATTTAATTTTGGGATTTTCTACCCCAGGATTAGATTAACTTAGCCATATTTGGCAAAACCTTTCGAAAATTTGGGTCTTCAATGCTTTCAACTCTGGTGTACAAATTTTAATCCTGGTATATATGATGAGTTTATTTGTATAAAATGTAATACCTTGTAAAAAATGCAGTGGTTGTTCTTCGTATTCAGTACATAACTTTCCCATGAAAAATTTACTTCCAAATAATTCTGTTTTCATAAATGTACCATACTTTGGCATTCCAATTTCAAACGGGTTAAATTCGACCCATTCTGAAACGATAAGAAGAACAAACTATCATTAAAAGATTACAAGTTACAAATGTACAGATAAAGTGGAAAATTCGATAATTCATATGTCTAACGAATGTCCGTAATTATACAAGACCTGAAGACGTTTTTGTGCGTCGAGGGATGATGTCTCATTCAACATATACTATAGAGTTAATTCTGTAAATTAATACCATTTCCATTGATTTCTATAAATTACTATTTTCAAATCAAACGCTTTATGATTATTAGTTGTAAAAGAAAAATCCGAAAATCACATTTTTTGGGAAAAAAACTGATTTGACTGGTTTTTGTTGGTGTTCCACTCCAGCGTCAAAAACATTACATTCAAAGACAACTGATACTTAATTTGACAGCAAAAACGTGTCCCATTTGTTGCTATAATAGACGATAATCGTGTGTTACACACATGCAATTTGAAATTTTTGAAGCTTTGCAGTACCTCCATGCGAAGAACCAGCTATCCCATTCGATTTTAAACTTGATTTTAAAGTAGTTTAAAATTATTACCGTGAAAACTTCTTGCTGATCTATCTGATTTTACGTTAACGCATGTCATTAAAGGCAATGGTGCAGCCCCGCCTTCTATTTTGTCTTGCAGGTCTGTAAGTTTTGTGTGTAACCTCTACAACAGAAGAAATAGATTTTAAAAATGAATTCTAATTATTGACGGAAGCATGGATTTATGGTCAGTGCCAAAAAAATTACATTTGAATAAAAGGTTAAACGAGGCAAGATAACTTGCAAAACAGCTGACCCAGTTTTCGTGTTTTGCTCAAAAATGTATTTGTCTTTAACCTATAATACGCAATTTAGGATGTCAACATTCGCCTGGATAAATAACCCATAACAACCCTATTATCTATAACAAATGTGTATGGTTCATTGTGTCAAATTAGTAGTTTAATATTTCTCTTTTTCCGACTTTACATACAGTATTAGTAGACAAGGGATAAAGTAACTTTAGCAACGAAGTTAAGAGTTGTACACTTACATCTTTTACCAATGTTTCTCCAACTAAATGTCCAAATATATCTGTGAAGCTGACTGGTTGCCCATTTTGACGTTTAACTAGTATCCGATCAATGTAACGCTTTATACTCAATGGTGTAAGTAACCAGAGAAGGCTAGAATCTATATTGTTTTTCAGTTCTTCTTGCATAGCACCAGGGTTCATTTCTGGCCAGTCTGGGTGTGAATATAAGGTAGAAATGTACCTAAAAAACATGCAAGTACATTATTATTGTCCAATTTTATTCGGTTTATTTTGTCACTAATAAGACAATTTCAAAAGTATGAATAGCATTCATTAAATTCCCTGCTTTATTTCAAAAAACATTGTTTTTGTCACGTATGTCAGTCAAACCAATTAAGCTCATATGGAACAGTAGACTTTTGTTTAGTGTCTTTAATGTCTTTTTATGACTTATCATCAGAAAAGGTCAATTTACTTATGTCAGGTAAACACACAAAGAATTTCAAATAAAGTGCCCTTAAGGTCAATAGTCTAATAATTGTAGGTAGAATTTATTTATAAATACTGTTTGAATTTTTATAACTTTATGTTATCTATTACTGTGATCTGTTTAAACATTTTTCCTCTAGTTATATTGTAAATTTTACATTTTATCTACTCACCAAGAAGAACCTGACAGTCCACCTAAAAATGTAACACAGTCCAATATTTTCGAATCTGCTAGGGCCTTGAGGACACCACTCATACCAACCATAGCCCTGAAACCACCACCTGAACCAATAACGGCGATTCTCGGCGTCTGCAAGAAAAATTACAAGATTATTAGAGTTCTTAAATTTTAAGTTTCTTATTTTAATTTCTTTTTCAACATAAACTTAGTGAATTGATGTTAAATAATAGCAAACGCAAAGATTGACGAAAACAGTATATGTTGAATCAGTTACATATAAATTACCTCCTCTCTGGTTTCAGGTGCTTTATCTCCCAGCAATTCCTTCATTGTTTTCATCACTTTTTCTGTTCTGTGTTCTATGAATTCTTTTTCTTCGTCACACAAACATAAACTGTATCGCAGAGTGGGATTCTCACTTAAAATTAAAGGGTACCAGATTAGTATGATGGAAAAGATATTTCTTTGTTCTCCCGCCTTTTAAAATCTTACAAGTTTTTTTCCGTGATAATTTGACATTTGATACTTTTGCTTCATTAGTTCTTGGCAAATAAAGAGATTTTTAATTAATTCATCTCTTACAATATGATTTTTTTTTATATAGTTTCTTATTTCCATTTTTTTTCCTCATTTTCAATTGGATGCAAATTCAGTAAAGAAACTATTTTTATGAAACATTGAACAATTCATTTAGAATTTCCTACTAGGTTATTTGTTTTCTAAATTCCTCTGTGACCGTACTATTTAAACGGTAATAAGCACATGCATAATTTTTCAAAATTTCACAAAGTACAGTAATGCAACAGTCAAGAAAATAAAATGTGCTTTTTGTTAACAAACAGTCCTGATCCGAAGTAAATCGATGGTTGACATAAGCTTTTAAATGTCCTTTAAAGTGGAGTAACAAATCAAGAAAAAGGTGCTTTTTTTACGACTTTAATGGACCGGCATAACTTCAGACTAGAAATAAGTTTTTTGCAAAGTCAATACCTTAAATTTACTTTTTTGCCTTGTCGTAGGAAAAACATTGCTGCTTCCTTCTTCATGAATTGAAAACAACGTACGATTTAGCCAAACTACAGTGTATGTTAGAAAAATACAACGCAAATTTCTCATTACTCATAATTATTCATAAACAGAAAGGGCAGGGAAGATCAAATAAAGTGTTCAGTAGTTCTTTTTTTCTGAAGCCATTCAAGTAGGCAGCCATTTAAAATCTGGTTAAATACTGCCAGAAATTGAAACTAGAATTGAGACATTAACTATGAATGAAGGCCAAACATTATATGCAGCCGCCTCAATAGTTCCTAGTTAAATGCAGTCCTTAGATATATCAAATGGGACTTACCCAACATCATCTGAAATATCTATGGCATATTCCAAACAACACACTCCTTGTTTACTTGCAAAGTTTTTGCTGTAGATAATTGATGCATAAGTTTACATGGTGAGGGTAATGCTTCTGAACTTCCTACCGACAAGATGTGAAAGTCTTGGCAATAGCAGAATGTATAGTTACATTAAGCAAATACTTTGTTTAACCCTTTCCATCTTGACTTGATATTACAACTACACAGTGAGTTTGGATAAGAAAAAATGATTGAAAATCTAAATTCACATGACTTTTGTGCATCATACTCGGAAGTACGAAGTTATCTCGCTAGCTTAGCATAGTAGGAAGAATCCAAGAAATGTCATATTTACCCAATGGTATTGCTGCATTTGAAGAAGGAGGTCATATACAGGAGGGAGCTTATAATATTGACATCAATGCTGAGACAATTGATGGTAAAAATACCTTTCATTCCATAGCTGTGGTTGTCTTTTAGTATAAAAAGACACACCAAACGCTATCATAAAATCCTCAAAGAATTCTCCTACTTATTTCAAGACAAAACTTAGATCCAATTCCCATTTCTGCAGAAAACACTGAATAAATTGTCCCATTTTGGACCGGTTTTCATACAAAATGCTGCTAGTATCAGAATTCAAATTTGAATACATGTATATACGTTTCTAGCCTATTCTTCGGTCAAACTCCAAACCCTGCAACATGGCAACAGTTTATTGAAAATTCCACTATGAAACAATGTTTAGATATGGTCAACAAAATGTTGGGCAAACGTTTGAGCAGCAATTGTATGCTGTTGCCCAACAAGAAAGATGGTCTATAGCAGACGTTTTTACTACCACATTATAAGACTAGGAGGATTTCATGGGCTTTCATGTTTTATATAGCAACGGTTGGTAAGTTATTGGCTTCATCTGGGCTTTCTTACTTATGTGTTGATTCTTGAATTTATGCTCGAAATACAGTAACAAATTGTGTTATTTGTAAACAGTTTAATCGTGATGTTCCAGGATTAGAACTGCCTAATGAGGCTCTCATGGTTTCTTTATTTGAAGCTTTTTTCAGTTGGTGAAGAGACATAAACTGTATAAAAAGAATTGAACCTAACGTACGTAATGTGTTCCTTGACTGTCATAGTTCATTTTTTGTCTAATCCAAAAGCATCGAAGGCGTTGAAGATTTATTTACTGTTTAAAAGACCATACATTTGTTCGAAGAATTCGGAACACATACTGGTTTTCTTCGAGGGATCCTTGTCATCAGATTTCCTTCAAGACCTTATTTGTACAAGCAAGGATAAAAAGATTGAAATAAAAGCTTTGTATGCAACACACAGAATTTAGCTTGTGCAAATATGTGTTGGTTTGAAGGGTCTTTGTGATGTAGGAACCATCTTATTCACCTCCAATATCTGAAGAAGACGATGATAAAAACGATGTCTGAACAAAATATATGTAAAGTCAGCTGCAAAATTCTGGGGAAAATTATTTCGTACAAATATATTACAGTATAACTCATGGCAGTTGTATCATACCAATTTGACTATGCAGACTATTTAAACCCAGGGATAAACAATGAGAAGCCCGGTGTCCTGAAAATGTTATTGCACGTGTTAAAGGAACCTTGCAGCAACTCTTTCTGAGGGGTTCATAGGTGACTGCTGAATAGAAAAATATACGCTAACTTATCAGTATTTCATTTTTTAAAACAATTTTATTCAATTTCCTGTTCACCGATATATACTTATACATAAACATGATAAACGTTGATTCTTTTTAAGTAACCGTAAAATTTAGAAAATATATATGTAAATGTACATGTAATGTAAAAAAAAACATGTATCAAGATCATTTCCTGTTTCGTTTTATCTTCTCCTTGTTGTCGTCCTTAATTTCCCTAAAAGTGGGCATTTGAGGCTTTCAATTTTTTGTCCAAATTGAGTTAATAATTAACTGGTATTGTTTATTCTTTCATTACAGGGATATATTTTCGCCTTTTTCACAATGCAGATATTATTTTCTGACTTTTTATAACCTCTTGAGAAATAAATTATATTAACATTATTGAAAATACTCAACTACCGAACTTTGACCTCAAATTTAAAAAAAAATCATCATTTTTCGATTTAACGACCATGCAAAAATTAATGTTTAAACATTTCTGTAATAGTCATGCTTTGGCCTGCAGGTAGGGTGGTCCATTAAAATTGAAAATTCGTTTGTTTGGTCACTCCACTACTATACTACAATTTGTAGATAGATTCAAATTCAATTAACTTTATTAAAGAATTAACCTATCAATTACATTTTAACAGATTACACTTTAATAATGTGATCTGCAAGTCGACAAGAAGTTACAGTGATCTGAATAAGTTCTTTTTCCTGTATCAGGTGGTGCTTATATGGTTGACATTACTATAATGCATGCTACACGTTTGCTTAACGTACAGTTACAAATACTTCATGCATATTCAGGTCGAAGTTGTTTTGCATCCATAATATCAACCTATAAGTGAATGCATATAAAAATACTTACTCGAAGTGTGTTTCAAACTCAAACTCAACTTCAGATTTCTGAAATTATAAACAATAAGAGTATATATTGTTGTTACTGTTATCGATTAACGGTTATTTTCCTTGATTTGAAACTTCAGATTAGTATTATATTATCTGCTTTCGTATGTATGTCGAATTGATTCTTCAAGTACATTGTTATCTTTTATCTGCATATCATGAAATAAAAAATAGTTCCTTTTCTATACATCCTTGTCTGCTAATATTAACTGAATTGGATTTTTTTTTATATCCGTGGATTTCATATGACATAACTTCCGTGTTCTAAAATTGCTAGGATGTTAAAAATAAGATTTCTTTTCAGTTCCGGAAATTTAAATTTGCATTCCAAATTATTGTTTAATTATACCATAAAGAAGAGAAATGAACTGAATTTCAGTGTTTAAAATTCTCTAACTAAATTGGAATTAAAGAGATTATCAGAAAATGCAAAATGAAAAAGATACTCGATTTAATACGATTTAATTCAACAGAATCTAGAATAAATTTTGTTTGGACCTATTGATAGAAATATATATATCTTTACCTCATTAAATGAGAAGATTTTGGTGATTCTGGTTTTTATTGGAAGTTCTCCGAGATCAAAGTATACCTCTCCAATCACTTGGTCAAGATTTCCATAGTTAGCCTCCATTAATATCATTTCTGAAAGGAAGATTTCAGTTTCATTAAAGCATAAACTATGAGTGTTATTAAACGAGGTTATACAAACGAATGTCATACTTTTATAAAGTCTTATAATTAAAATAGAAAACTTCATAATAACATGTACGGTGCCAATTTTACTGCACCAGATACGCATTCGACAATAAAAGTCTCTTCAGTGATGCTCGAGGCCAAATTATTTGAAAGTCCAAAACCTGCTACAAACGTTGAAGAGCTGATTAAAACGAAAAGGACCAATAGTAAAGCCAAACAGGACAAAGATTTTAAAATAAGCTTCTTTTTTTATTAATAACATCACGTCTGCCGTGAAAAAGGTTACTGATTGCGCTTTCGGTTAACAGTTAAACTCGAAGAAAATACCAAAGGTAACAGTTTAGATCTGAGTTTAAAAAAACCAACTTTGTTCTAGGACCCGATCAATAACGGTCACAACACCTTGTTTTTATAAACGTCTATCTGATATATTTTACAAAACATATAACAGATGTAAATCATTATAGACTTGAGAACTTACGTAGTTTATTAGTTTCTCTATCATCTATGAGAAATGTAAATTCTTCGTTCCATACGGGATTGACTTCATTGTCCTTTGTTTCAGTCCGCCGCCGACCTTCTGGTGAGGTCTTCACATTAAGTATAATATACGGGTCTGGTGTATCCACTAAAAGTATTTACAAAAAGGGTACATGAATTAAAATACTGTAACAGACACAATATTCTCAGAGTTAAAGAAGACTTCATAAGGTCAAATGCGACGGGAAACCATAAGCAGACAACGTCTATATAGTAACGAAATACTAAAACAAAAATAAAGGTTAACACTTAAAATCCCTGAGGCTGACTTTGGTTGAATATGAAAACGCTGATATTTCAAGGAAGGTCATAGTTTTTCTCGATTGCTTTCTCTCCTACATACTCAAAGGGAATTTAAGGTGTTTGTAGAAAATAGCTGAAATAAGAAACCTTTAATATTAGAATGGCTACATGTATGAAAATGAAAGCAATATTACGACCAACAGTCAAATTTTGAGAGCATTACTGAACTTGTGTTAAACCGTTATGCATGTATGCATTTACATACCATGTAAATCGTCTCATTTTCATGTTATTTGAATAAATTATAATGTAAGTGTAGCCTGAGAGTGTGGCCTATAATTTGAATAAAATTGATCGAGCTGCATGGTTGACATGACAAGCATTTGAATTTGTTTCAATCGGATAAAATAAAAATGTTTACCGTAATCATACCATCCATGTGTTATATTTTTGCCTCTGACGACCTTTACGGTGAGGATCAAACATGGTCGATGTTCTACCTACAATACAATGGTATACAGTAAACTTCATCATTTTTATATAAAACACATACATGTAATATAAGATGCAAAAGATGAAAAGCAGTTCATAAAAGTAAAAACTTGCAAAAATACTTGTCATCTGGCAAAAAATGATATGGTTTATGATTCCAAGGACATTTGCGAAAAAGTCTATGATTGATATAAAACTAAAATGAACAAGTTTTAGCTTTCTTAAAAGCTTTGGAGTGCTTCGCTGTATCATACTTTTAAGTAAGATGTGGTTTATGTAGTTGTTTAAGTATGGGAAATGTGTTAGTTATCTCATTTGTGTATATACTCATCAGTGTGGAATTATAAGCCCGTCTTAAATGGGATGTATTGTAGTATACTGTAGTTCATCCATGAATATTTCCTATAAGAACTCAAATTTGTCAATTCCTACAAAACTTAAACGGAACATTAAGTTTGATTAAATATTAGACTAAGGAGATGTGGTTTGATATCCAATGAAACAACTATCCAACAAAGTTCAAATGAAGTGGATGTATGCAATTATAGGCAAAAAGAACCAATATACCGTATAGTTGACTATAAAAGGCCCCGACATGAAAAATATGATACAATTCATTTGAGCAAACTTAGGGCCTAATCTATAACGCAACAATTTACGAAAAACAAATATGACCGACGACAAGCACTGAACTACAGGCTACTGACTTGGGACAAGCACATAGAGAATGTGGTGGGGTTAAACATGTTGGAAGGCGCCAACCCTCCCCTAACCTGGGACAGTATAGTGTAACAGTAAAACAGCATATGTGTATAACAATAATATTTAGTATGGTTTTAACTTACTGATTACAAAATCAAACAATCTCCTTACAAGGGAGGATCAAAACAAGAGACTTACTTAAAACTAGTGTTCTCGTGAAAGATAAGCAGTTCCTGGTTTACTTGCACAACTGCGTAGAAAACTGAACATACATTTTTGATTGAGTGCTGTTGTTAATTAAATAAACTGAGTGGCAAAAAAACATATCTTCAAGGCCAACGTAATTGCTTGGTGTGTTTAATAATGTATACCTTTTTAAAAAGAGATTTGATTTGTCGAATTTATTAATGGTCATTAATACTGAACAACAAAAGTAAAGCGATTTTTAAATTCTTCAAATATTTTGTCAGCTACACCAGTCCTTTTAATTGCACGCTGCGGATCATGGTGTCCGTCATTGTTATTCTTAACATTGATTCTTTTATGTCAGCTAAACTTGCTTGAACAGATTGGTTTTTATCTTCCTGATTATTTAAAAAATGGATACCGTAAGAAGTAGATAATTTACAAGAGGTTTTAAATACTTTGTTTACTCATGTAAACACTGGAGATAATAAAAATCGATGTACTAGATTTATTCTGCACTTCATATTATTATAGTTAATCTATAAAAAATATAATTTCCGTCATATTTTAAAATAATGTTAAAATTTATAAAAAAAATTGTGTCACACACAACTTAGTACATAATATATAAACATCTCATTCGTCTATAAGTTGTTTAAGTGGTTCATTTTGTAAGACATCCTGTGTGAACTCACGAAGAAAAAAAGTTCAACAACATAGAATTAACCCTGGTTGTTTTTACTGGTAAATACTAAATCACATGTTGATTTAAATGATACCAAATGTATGGGTTCTCCTTACAAGGGAGGATGGGGCTTCTTTATTAAACCACATGGGATGACGATTAATCCTAGTTAACTGACGTCTGTGTGTCCCTTTGTGATGGAACACTTTCAAAGAATGAATTTTGTCACAGACTTGAAGGGGTTTAATGTTTTCAAGAGTTCAAATTTACCCAATACGTCTGTCATCACATCGATAGCTTTTGCTCTAAATAAAGACATCCGGCGATTGTGATTTTCTTTAACATGGTCATGGGAGTTTAAAAATCTTAATCGGGAACAGGCAATAAATTCTTAAATTTACAGATTCAACTGTTGATTTCCCCCTCATAGGTATCACGTGTTTACGTCGTGTTATGAAATAGTACCTATCTTGGACTAACAAATATTACAAACACTTGCTTTGTAACTTGTTATCATGCCCAGTAAGTACTGTCAGATGAAAAATGTATCATGTTCAGTAAGGACTGTCAGAAGATAAATGAAACATCCCCTCCCCCCCCAAAAAAAAAATACAGTAATTTCGTTCAGAATTTTACGAAAATAATGTTACGTTTTCCTTGCAAATGTACTCCAAGAGCACCCGTTGAATTGCTTTACTAACTGAATGTCTGTGGTATAAAACTGAATGTGTATGGTATAAAACTGAATGTGCATATCAAATCTTTTCGGGAATAAATTTAAAAAAAAAGTCATATGAAAGAGACATGTCTATGTGATATTGTATAAATTATGGTGACAATGTTATTTATTGTGTAAACCTTTTGAATGTCTTGTAAATATCTGCATGTGTTAAAAAGTATTGTCATTTAGTTATTCAGCTCCGACTATAATTGTGCATATTTTAGTAAGTATTATACAACTACACGTAAGCAAAGTGTTGTTATAGGTTTCAATATTCAAATTTAAAAATATAAGTGTAGAAATTAAAAATTTCTATCGAGTTTGTATAGATAGTTGGTATAATTGAACTAAGTACTCGTAATAGCAAAGCTATTGAAATTAAAATCTCTTTATAAGCCTACAAGTTTTACTGTCTTGAGATGACACATATTTGTGTTGTTAAATCTGTATTTACATTACAATATAAGCTTGAATATCGCAGTGACAATAAGAGAACTTTAAACTTCTCAGTCAGTATTCTAATACGCATATTACCTACGTATATATTTGATGAAAGGGAGTCAAAACCGTACAAATTTATATAAAATTAAAATTGAGAATGGAAATGGGGAATGTGTCAAAGAGACAACAACCCGACCACAGAACAGACAACAGCAGAAGGCCACCAACAGGTCTTCAATGCAGCGAGAAATTAATATGCATGCTAAGCAGAATAGTGTTATTCTTTGATAAATAATCAATATTCAAAGAGATAACCGTTTTTCACTTTGTCACTACAAGAACATGGAACCTTGGTTTTAAACTTATGTATTTTTAATCAATTCCTTTTCATGGAACAGGTTACAAAAAATAATTAAAAATGAATTAAAAGCATGAGGCTGCATTTCATATCAGATCTTTTAGTAAACTGAAAAAATTACTTGCATACCATAAATATCACAGCAGGTATGCGACTAAAGCTCCTAAATATTTACGAAGAGAACGAAATGTTCCGATGACCTTCGTTGGAACTGTTGTTTTTTTTTTATAAAAAACAGTATAACTATCATTTTCATATTCTGGATGAGCGTAGCGAGAAACTCATTTCATTTTTTTTCCTGGTGTCTTATCAAAACCAGAAAAGTATCATCAAATTTCTCATCCTCTTAAAGCTCGAAGTAAAATATTTATTATTTAGTGAATAATAGAGTACCACATCTCCTTATTATATATATATATATATATATATTACAACCCTATATAAAGCCGACGAGGAAAGGCATTACATCGACCACCGAAAGCTATATTTTTATGTAGCCTAGGTGGTCGAGTGGTCTAGGGCGCTGGACACGATGCAGGCGGTGTTGCCACGATGTCACAGACACAAGGGATCGAATTCAGCTGAGAGAAGAACTAAAATTTGCTAACGCAAATTTGAAAATCTAACATTGTTGGGCTAAATTTGAGACGATAATATATATATATAACTAGTATTGTTTAAAATATTGACACTGACGAAGGTTATTTGTTTCGCCGAAATATTTGTCAACACGATTTTAAAACATCATCTTCGTATATATTTATATATATATATTAAAAATGTTATACGCTAAATTATGCTAGTAGGCTGGAAATATTCTATGTAAAACACAAGTCAAAACCTTAAAATGTATATGAAGCTATGCTTATATAGAAAATTTTGCATACAAAAGCTAAATATTGTGTGTTATCTAAACTCATTAAAAAATCTTATACAAACAAGTAGAAAAGAAAAGTTATTTAAACTTACCTCAAAAACTTGATATGGATCAAACCTGAAATTCAAAAACAAAAATAGGTCATTAGTTATTTTCCAACTTTTATCACCAGGAAGTTTTACTTATTGAGGAAAGTAAAAATCAACGAACTTACTTTTTCTCACTATTAGTTCTGAATACGTTCATATTAGAATCTAGAAACACTTCTGACAGATAACGAGCATATACGACTATTTATAGAGGACTTGATTTGTATAGAAATATTCAAATTAAATGTCCTTGTATTCATCAAAATATCGCCTGATTGCGTTAGAAAAATCACTTGTGGAGCGTATCTATCAAGACTAATATTAAAGAATATTTAAATATGAGTGACGAGAAAAGCATTTCAATCAAAACTTTATAATATATCTGAAGGGTTCGCTGTAATTTCATTAAAATAAGATACTTTGAAATATATATATGGATATATTTATAGAGAATTTCACAGTGTAATGCAAATAGAAATACATTTGAGCATTTTAACCTCCCATCACCAGTTTCTGATTTTATTAACAACCTAAATGTTATCAAAGATAAATAAGAAGATGTGGGCCAAAGACCACAATTAATGATCCCGCTTTTCGTTGTCCAATATAGTTCCTTTTAATTAGAGTGTATTTTTTCTTAATTTTTTTTCTTTCCCTTCCTCACTCATTTCTTAGATTTTTTTGGATGGAAATGAAAGAAGAGAGGGGAAATAAACTTTTGGATGTTGTATTTTAACTGATTTTGATATGGAAAGAGTGATTAGGCCAGGTGCAAAAAGGTGATATTTACAGTTTTCGGAACATCTCTTGACTTGCCCATAGGGGTATGGATGTGTATTGGCTAAATTTGTAAGATGCTGGGGAGCGATATTTCTGAATGTTTGATATATGTTTGGACTAGTACTGTACTTTACACACACAAAATATTTGACAAAAAGAATCGGTGCATTTTTTTTAATGAAACAAAACGTTATAAAGAACTAATAGAGAATTTAATTGTTGTCTGTGGCCTGTGGTATGAGTGCCAATGAGACAACTCTCCATCCAAGTCACAATGTGTAAAAAGCAAACAATTATAGGTCAAAGTACCACACCACACCAATTAGCAAGCTATAAAGGGCCCGAAATGTACGTTTCCGTTCTGTTTTGTGTTTTTCTTGGTGGTACCATGGAAGTAAAATGAGTCAATATAATACTCCCATGGTGGTAGTTAATAATATATCTGAAGGGTTCGATGCTCGGTTCGCTGTAATTTCATTACAGAGATGATCTAATTAAGACCTTGGTGTAAGATTTCCCGATTGACATGTATACCAGGACATCATTACCATTCATAAAAAAGGGGTATTTCTATATAAACAAAGAATATGAACAAACAATGATAAATAAATAGATATAATTAACTCATCAGATTGGAGTTCACAGGAAATATTTGAAACTGTTTTACTTGACTCAAGAGGTGCCCTCCTTTTCCACCCACATTTCAACACATGAATGAGGCCCCTAATAGAAATATCCAAATATCCAAATATTCTTTCGTATACCGTTAGTTGTATTTCGGTTTTTAGTTTTTAAAAAAAAGACACAGTAGCTCGTCCTTTTATTGTACGAAGACATTAGTTGATGGTTTGTGAATTGCAATTAAATGGTTTTGACTAGAGGCACTTCGACAGTGAATAACTTTTATAGTGGTAAAGACGATATGGTTAGGCAAATAAACATTAGATATATATAAAGTGACATATATAGCCTAGATGGGTTATACACACACACACACACATGTAAGCATATCAGATTCCTATGAACAAGTTTGTTTAAGTATCATATTATTTTAACTGTGACTCTCCTTAATTTACATAAAGATCTATGTATGATATCAAATTTAATATACCGTCTATGAATTACTGCAGCATTCAAACCAAAAACACCAAAAATATAATGCAAAACCAATTATATACAAAAAGATGTGCACAAAACTGTAAACTCACATTAAATATGGCAGACTGAAATATAGGAGAGGGGTTTAATTGCATTCACAAAAGGATGAATATTATGTTTATGGTTTCTAAAGATTTTAAATAAACACACTTTTAAATGTGGCCTTTATCTGTTCATCTTAAGATAAAGTCAACTATTGTAAAATATTCCCCCAGGTAAAATGTTGAATATGTTTTTCGTTGTACTTTACATGCAAACAGGTGTTTCTTGATCTACCATCTTTTGAGAAGTTTAGTCCAAATTCGAATACTGATTTTTCTGCCACCACTGTTACGTTTCAAAGTGGACTTTTTTTTCAAAACTAAGACATTACCGGTACACGTGAAAAAGTTTGTACTTGACCTTTAGTTAATGGTGGCATACAGTGGTGACAAAGGACAATATTGAGCTCTGTTTACTTATACGTTATAGCATAGACATACTATTAAATCTATGGTTATAGTAAAAAAACAATTTCTGTTAACCTATAAATATATAATTTTTTGTGGTATTTCTTTCCTGGCACAGTCGATTAAATACAAAAGCTTGTTTACTTCTTTATTCAAACAAACATACCGTGATTTTTCCTTTGCCAGATTGTTTTTCTGAGGTATCGTATAGAAACATAATTGTAACTTTGAGCAGTTAAAGTATTTAAATCATTTGAATGAGAATTACGGCTGGTAAAAATTGAATAAAGTTTAATATGACTACATTAACCGTCTTAGATATGACCACGAGGATTTAATATTAACGGTATGTTAAATTTATAAAACAATATTTATGGTTTCTGTTACACAACTATTTGTGTTTTCCTTTTACTTATCTTGCTTGTTATTCTTTGCCAGAAGTTTACTGGTGACTTTTAACTAACTATGTCTATGCCATTAGTACATACCGCTTACAGACGCCAGAAATACGTGTTTTAAAGTTAAGTATATAGTTCCCATCAAAATATAAGTATTTCATGTAGAAATGATTTAAATCAGAAGGTCATGACAGTTTATTTTTAGGATAAGTATATCATTTATTATATAAAAACTACATTTCCGGTTTTAGCTATTTTTTTTAACTTTAACTGTAAAAAAACTTACACTCTTGAAAAGGACATCTTTTTTTCTTTAGACCTGGGTGATAACACAGGTTCTTCCTTCCTATTGTTAACACTGTACGATGGTACCTTTCTTACTGGGCTGCTCCTGTAATAAATATCAGATATAGAGGGACAACATTATACAACCTTCAATATTCGTCACATTTTAAAATCCATCAGTGTCGACAACCACTAGTTCTATTATGAAGTCAACCGGAATTAAACTCTTGTTATTCATCCGCAACTATTTTATAGTGTATGAACAAGGAACGTCAAAATAGTTGAACAATTATTTACATGCGAGAATGACCTTATTTAAAGTTAAAATTTTACTTCAGTGTATCCTACTTACACCGCATATAGATAGAAATTTTAGCGCAGGTAAAAGTTTAGTATCAAATTTTTGGATTTTATAGAGGAATTTATAGATAACGGTTACCGTGTACATATTTATTTGATTTATCTAAATTTATTGAAACAGAACTGATTGACTGGGTCTGCCTATATTAGTCACATAATTCCACCCTACTACAATCTCAAGTTGTAGGTGTATTCCGTGTTTCTTGGTACTGGTGTCTGCATGGGTTATCGCTAACTGTTACTTTCAAATACTGTTTACACAGTTTTGGCTTCAGGATTCCAATTATTGTTACATTTACCTATTATGTTGGGTTGTTCACCCAATTTTGTCAATATAACGAAACTATAAAAAATGTCATACAAGTGGGATGTTTAACTTGCTATAAAACCAGGTTTTACCCACCATTCCTGTACTCAGTCAGGAATATGACGGTTGTTTTCCATTGGTGCAGTTGGTTGATAAAAGTCTAACGTTTGATTTTGTCAGTTTTAATGGACTTCCCCCTTTTTGAATTTACATTGAACTTTGGTATTTTTGTTAATACGTTTTCCATAATATTCACCTTTTTTGCGTAAAAATATTTTTTAATCTGTGAACAAGATTCTTTAAGATGTGGTACGAGTGCCAATGAGACAACTATCCATTCAAGTCAAAATGTGTAAAAAGTAAACAATTATAGATCAAAGTACGGCCTTCAACACGGAGCCTTGGCTCACACCGAACAGCAAGCTATAAAGGGCCCCAAAAAGATCAATGTAAAACAATTCAAACAGGAAAACCAACAGTCTAATCTATATAAAAAAAGGAGAAACGAGAAAGACTTATGAACCAAACCAATAAACGACAACCACTGAACAACAGGCTTGTGACTTAGGACAGGTGCATAAAAAAGCAGCGGGTTTAAACGTTTTAACAGGCCCCAACCTTCACCTTAACCTGAAACAGTGGTATAACATTACACCATAAAAAAACACAATAAAATATCAATTGAAATGTCTTAACTCGATCTTTAAGACAATACACAAAAACAAGTAAATATACACTGAACGAATAAGTTTGATATATGACACAATATAAATAACTTTAACCTAGGACAAAATGGTAATATGCACATTTGAATTGTTCCTGTTATTCTGAAAATAAAATGAGTAAATAACTTCATAGATAACTGAAATATTACATTTTGATAATGTAAAAACGTGGACACTATAGACAATTTGATAATGTAAAAACTTGAAAACTATGGACAGTTTGATAATGTAAAAACTTGGACACTATGGACAGTTTGATAATATAAAAACGTGGACACTATAGACAGTTTGTTATGTAAAGACGTGGACACTATAGACAGTTTGATAATGTAAAAACGTGGACAGTTTAGACAGTTTGATAATGTAAAAACGTGGACACTATAGACAGTTTGATAATGTAAAAAACGTAGACACTATAAACAGATTGATAATGTAAAAACGTAGACACTATAAACAGATTGATAATGTAAAAACGTTGACACTAAAGAAAATTTGATAATGTAAAAACTTGGACATTATAGACAGTTTGATAATGTAAAAAGTGGACACTATAGGCAGTTTGATAATGTAAAAACGTGAACACTTTAAACAGATTGATAATGAAAAAAAGTGGACACTATATAGACAGTTTGATAATGTAAAAACGTAGACACTATAAACAGATTGATAATGTAAAAACGTAGACAGAATCAACCCATAACATATAAAAAAAAAACCGAATGAAACTAACAAATTTAATTATTCGACGTCAAAATTTCAGAAAACACTCTTTGACGTCCCATTTTTGGTGTAACGTCGTGTTGTAGGAACATCGTGCACAACGTTACTATAGACAGTTGATGATTTAGAAATTGGACACTGAAATGTGTGTTTTATATTAATATTCCCTAAGAAGCACTGTCAGTTTTGTTTGGCCATAAGTAGGAAATGACAGACAAGTTTGAGAAACTTAACACAAACCATACGAACAATTACGTGTTTCTGGAAAAAAAAGGGGCGTGCATGGACAGGGAACAATCAAAATCTTTTAAAGAGTATCGTTGAACCTATAAATAGTAGTAGATTCGTGGTTTTTCATGGAAAATGTTTCCAAAAAGGTTAATCGAAGTACTACTACGGAATGTTTGACGACCTTGACTACCCAATGAGGGTCTCGCACAGTCGGTTCATTATTCGAGGTATTTATTATTTAACTTTTTATACACATATGAACACAGGATAATTAAACTTTACCGTATATTTAAAAATATAACAGTCTAAAACCTTTCGTTTCATATTAAAATTTAAATAAAATACATAAAACTTACTACAAAAGTGTTAGTGTACCTGCATATAATTACATCGACATAGGACTATGCTTATAACATTAGTTTTAATATACTGCAGACTTAAGTTTTGTAAATGTAAGAACTGTGTACTAATGTCAATAGGTCTCTTTTGTCTTCTTCCGGTAGTGTTAAGACTTCTAATTAAATTGAATTGTGAAGGAGATTATTTTGCATGATTGAAAGAACTTCCATTTTATAAATAATTTTGCCTTGACAATAGTAGTTTAAATTACACTATGGAAATTATTTTTTTAATACAATACTCCAATTAACACATTGTCTCCATAAAAGTCATTTGTTCCTCAAAGTAAGAGTCCTGCAGCCTTTATATTTTATTACTCAAGATATGTGCCATTTTACTTTGATTATTTTAAAATACATTTCAAAGAAATCTGGAACTAATCATATACATATTTATATAATGAAATCAAAATACTGATATTGAAAATGTCTTGATTAAATTAAGAATATGCTCTAGGTAAAAAGAAACCATTGAGGTATTGTGTATTTGAATTAACTGATTTTCGATTAGAATAAAAGAAATAGTATATCCATTCTTACAAATGTGTGCAGTTCTAATATAATGAAAATATTATTGCGGTTCTCCGAAATAAAATTATGACTAAAAGAACAAATTAGCCTCATGGACTTTTGAATTTTACGCCAACAGCGACCACCATCTTCCTTAGTCGATACAACTACAACATGCCAATTGTAGTACCAAGTCTATGTTTATTTTATATTGGTCTTAGTGGTTTTAGATGATATTTGTTTCAGTATAAGTATATTGTTTCATAAGGTCACGATTATAAAATTTCTATATAACTTCAGATATCTTCAAGTACGCGAAATTGACCTGCTTTTTCTTTTGCTGTTGTACAGGTCAGAGATATGCAATTTTGCCAGTTTTTTGTGCTGCTTTACAGAGCAAACATAACCCTATCGGGATGTGGGAGGAGGGGAATCATGAGCGTTGGAAGATACTTTGACGAGTTAAAGGATGAAACAAAAGTTTTGTATATTTGCCCTTTTATTAATGTATGCCATATGTAAGGTTTAAGATTTGAACATTAATGACATAGGCGATGATACAGCTTCGTTCAGGACGACCTGGGTGCTATTGTCTGAAAGCTTCAGTTTTTTTCTTAGTGGGATACTTTCGAATACTTGAGTCTAACAGTAAATACCACAAAAAAAAAAAAATTACTTAACACTTACTGTGGTTTCCATCCTTTCCAATAAAATGGGAAGGGAATAGCGTCCGTTAAGTCTTTTCTGAAAAATATAAATAACAAAGAATGAATAATAGAAAATGTGGGTTTACGTCATGGAGACAGCTATCCAAAGAAACACCAGAACACATCTAGAGGACCACGTGCAGTCTTCATCAATTGGTAGGTGTCTATACTATATGTCATTGAGACAGCTATAAAAAAAAACCAGAACACATCTAAAGGACCACGTACAGTCTTCATCAATTGGCAGGTGTCTATACTATATTTCAAGCTCTAGATCGTCGCAAGTAGTTCTGAATAATCATTTTCTGCTGATTGAGCAAAAATCGTGTCCAAATTATTACTGACAGACATATAAAAACTGGATAAGTTTGTATGGTGACAGATTTAATTTTGTCAAATATACATTTTAATATATTTTTATCTGTAACAAAATATCAGAAAAGTTTTTCTACGGTACCAACAAGGAAGACCAAAATGCTGCTTATTTTCAGTATTTTAAAATAAATTGAGACACGTCTGTCCGTCTGAAATACATTAGATCTGACATGAATGACATGTCTGCAAAAGGATTTCCTTTCAACAATTATGTTGATTGAGAAGGTGCTAACATTTCACTGCAGATTTCACTGTAAATTAATGAAATTTAAGAAATAGGCGTGTTAATTTGAAAAAGAATAAATTTACCCCACGAGTAATCTTTTATAGACAACTCACTTATTGATGTCATTATCCACTAAAAGATATTGGCAAATAAAAATAGTTAAGCACATGCTTAGTCCTTGCAAAGAGGTTCAGGACCTCTGGCCTTTGTTAGTCTTGTATCTTTTTTTAATTTTGGTTCATCTATATGTTTTGGAGTTTAGTGTGACGTCCATTTTCTCTGAACAAGTACACATTTTTGTTTAGGGGCCAGCTGAAGCCCGTATCCAGGTGCGGGATTTTCTCGCTGTGTTGAGGACCCATTGGTGGCCTTGGGCTGTTTTCTGCTCTTTGATACATTCCCCATTTCCATTCTCAATTTTATTAGGTTTTTTTCTGGAGAAAAATAAAGGACTTTGTCTACATTCTTCACTGATAATGCTGTTACTGAAGATGTTCTTTTTATGTATTGAAATCTTAACGTCTTTGATTCTCATAATGTTCACGTGACGTTGTTCTCCACACAAAGACTTATGATTCAAATTTCATATCCACATGTCCTTGTACAAGGGAGAAATCATGACAAATTAATTGGGCGACGTTCTGAATTATATAACTTAACTTCTTAACTCAACCGGTATTTTAAAGGCACAAGATGAAAGACATATATATATACACAATAGGAAAGCTGATGAAATGTGCTGTGAAATTTCTTTTTCTTGGTGTCATGAATGTTATCGTTTCGGATCAAATTTGCTTTGTCTGCATGGTCAGTAAAGTTTACGATTTTCTATTCCACAACTTAAAAAAAAAATATTTGTCTTTTGCCTTATGTGGTTAATGAATTCGTGACACATATGACAATTTTATTTTTGTTTAAAATTGCATAAAAATGTTTACCGTATACAATTATTTGCCAAATTGATTTTACTATTTAAAAAAAAAACTTATCTCCTAAAGTTACTTAGTTTTGTATCTTTTCGCATGGAGTGGCTCGTATAGATAAGATAAGATATTTTTTTTTAATTTCCAATAGAGGACCCATTATGGGCATAATCAGTACAGTGATTTTTATATTAAACAATTGCAATATAGACAATACACAAGAAAAACAACTCAAAACATGAAATATAAATTGAGTTAATAATATATATAGTCATATAAACCATTATGTTTAGTGTTTATTGACCATGCACCAGAAGCAGCATCACATCCATTAAAAAAATTGCTTTTATGAGTTAAGTCCTTCCTCGTGGCTGATGCATATGAACAAATAGTTTTGTTGTCCATATGCAGGAGTCACCAAGGGCAGGTGCGTATATATATACTCACAAATTCATTTTGAACTACACTGTACAAATAATAAGTGCATATACAATTGCGGGTTTTATACTAATAAAATATCTTATCTTATCTTATCTTATACAAAGAAAATAATTTGCAGTAAAGCTTATTTGTATGCATGTGTCCGAAGATCACATGGAAATATTACGGGGAATAACATGTTATTTATCATTAGGATGATAGATAATACGTTCATGACAGTTTATATCCTTCAATGTAACGTGTGTTTTATCATTCAGCGGATATTAATTTCAAATCCGTCTCCTTTATAATACAAGTAATTCTTTAATTTTAATATTTTGGAGGATTATCAAATGTATGTGAACTGATGTAGAATACAAAAGAAATGATTTAAAAGACCCGGATACAATTTAAGCTAATAAAATGACACAAAGTAACCAATGATGATACACAATGCATTTGTTCTCACACACTTTAAACGGAGGCATAAGGACATTAACATATTTTGAAAGAAAAAAGAATCAAATGGAATAATATCACATTTCACAGATCAAATTTGCGAAAAATCTACTTAACGTTAATTCAAAGGCAGAAAATACAGCTGTATTAGCTGAATTGGGAATGTACCCTATTGGTATACAGGCCCTTAAGTCTTCTGTAGGATTTTAGTTACATATTCTAAATTCAAATGAAAAAGAGTCTTTATTATATAATGATTATAAAGTTAACAAGCAGTTAAATGATGAATTTGCTTCAAAAATTAAAATGCTACTATCTAAATTGAATTTCACTCATGTTTGGGAAAATCAATGTACCTTTTCTAAAAAACGATTACTTTTAGCCTTCACGAAGAAGCTCAATGAAAATTACATTATACTTTGGAAAAATTGTCTCTTTAATGATGATAATTCAATAAATGGAAACAAACTAAGAACCTACAGAAAATTTAAAGTAAAGTATGAACTTGAAAAGTACCTTTTTATTGAATTAAGATAAAAATGTTACAAAAAATTATGTCAAAATAAGAATAAGTAATAGTATGCTGGCTATTGAACGCGGTCGATACAATAAAACAGCCTGGGAAAATAGAATATGTCCTTAATGCCAGAAAGAGGTGGAAGATGAATTCCATTTTATCATAACATGTACATAACATGTACAGAACTTAATAAACCTAGGATCAAAATGTTTAATGAAATTTCTAATATAACTACCATCATCCAATAAATCATTAAATGTATTTTGTGTCATTATTTATATTTGAATACAATGAGATGTAGAGTTATATCAATGAGACAGCCACCAAGCTACAAAAGTTACAAACAGACATGTAAAGGACAACAGACAATAGACATGTGTCCATAAAGTATGTCAAGCTGGACCCTAATCGATTATACAGTATATCGATTCTTATTTGGTTTTTTTTATTGCAGAACTTTTTAGAATTTTAAAAGATATCACAAGAGCAACTCGAACGAATCAAAGAAATTACCTCTTTACATAATTTTACATTTAAATGTCATTGTCAATCTAACCCGAATTATTCAGGCCCTTCCGTAATTGATCTCTCCTACTCGCAATGTAGCCATCGTAAGCAGTGGAATATATCGACTGAATTATTCGGGATACCAGCAACCTTTTATTCCAATATAAGATAAGATATAGAACAGGCTGGTTATCAGACAATTAGACAATTTGAAGGAATCAGTATAAGAAAACAGCAAAGTTTCGTAAGCAACGTGTAAATTATTTAAATGTAGTAATACCAATTCTGGTGTGCAAGACCGATCTTTCTGTTATAAGCCTTTCGAGAACTCTTTCTTTATTGCAGAGACACCGCGTGCATAGAAGCGGTAATCATATATTTATAATTACACCAATGGGGCTGTACCGATCATGGTGAACTGTCAGTTCCGATGGTACACAGCAGTTACCATCCTTCGAGTAATGGCATGATAAATATGATCTCCTGGGATAGTCAATTTTTATGTTTCTCTGTCCTATATGTTCTCTCAATTATTTGTATTGTATAGTCCTGACATGTAATGTTGTCATTTTAATGTTATATTTAACATTGCCATAAAAGCGGGGGGTTTGGCTAGCCACAAAACCAGGTTCAACCAACCATTTTTTTCTTAAAATGTCCTGTACCAAGTCAGGAAAATGGCCATTGTTTTATTATAGTTCGTTTCTGTGTGTGCTACATTTCAATGTTGTGTTTCTGTTTTGTCGTAGTTCTTCTCTTATATTTGACGTGTTTCCCTCAGTTTTAGTTTGTTACCAGGATTTGTTTTTTTCTCAATCGATTTATGAATTTCGAGCAGCGGTATACTACTGTTGCCTTTATTTAGTTTGTAAAGTAAGTAAAATAATTTCATGAACTGGTTACCAAAACTTATTTTTCAAAAGCCCTTGTCGTGCGTACTAAAACATGTATCATTCTTTTATAATCTGATCTATTTCCAAGAAAACCTCATAAATCACACTTTCAATTACTTGTTTGTTCTGCATAAAAAGAATGCAAGATAACAACCATTACGTTAAAATGTTTCCTGTTGTAATTATGAATTTAAAATATTCAAATCAACTTTTTTAAAAGAGATTTATATAGCGATACGTATTTACATTATGTTTGCATAGTTGATATTCAAAGTACAGACATCATTATAAACAAATAATTAAAAAATCGAATCAAATCATTTTTTGCTTTGAAATCCAAATATAGAATCAAAATTCAGTACTCACATACGCAAAATCCAATACCAACTGACATCCAACAAAAAGATATTCAAATAAGTAGATAAGAATATACATGCATCAAAGACAGTACATAAATCTGTTTATATAAAATATGGAGATGTGATATGATTACCAATGTGACAACTATCCAAAAGAGTTCAAATGACGTAGATTTAACCAAATATAAGTCACCGTACGACCTTCAACAATAAGCAAAACCCGTATCGTGTATATTGGCAGCTATAAAAGGTCCAGACATGACAAAATGTGAAACATTTCAAATAAAAGCAAAAGCTAACATCTGATGTAAGACAAAACAATGAAAAAAAACAAATATGACAGTCAGCAAACAAT